TGGCTCACTGCAGCAGGCAACCCAGCCCAGGCCTGAGCCATGTTCTCTGAATGCCCAAAGATACCCAGGAAAGAGCGTCTCTTCCCCTGACTACCGCTGGTGCCAAAATTAGACATTACCATTATTGCTAAATCATCACGATCAGAAAATCAGCATAAACAAGTTCTCAGAGGTGTGTGGAAGAAACTGATTCCCCTCTACCTCGAATGACCAAGTTTGCTCTGCACATGCCATGCCTGACATCTCAGTTCTGAGGCAGAGCTGAGGGCTGGCAGAACGTACCTTGGGGCAGGTCTGTGTGCAGTTCATGATGGTGTGGCAGCGATACAGAGAGAACGGGTCCTGCAGCTTGGCCAGGCGCTCCTCTGTGAAGTCGTCTCTGGAGTCAATCAACCAGCGATAGGCCTGGGAAACCAGAGGCTGATGAGCTGAGCTGTCAGCTTAACTGGCCAGAGCAGCTCTCTGGTACAACTCAAAGCTCCAGGGGCGCAGAAGAAAGGGGGTTCTCTCAGCTGTGCCACTGTGTCTCCCCATTCTTTAATTCTCACCACCTTTCAAGGAAAAGCTCCCAGCTCTTTAACTCCTGAGAAATGATCCCCACGCTGTACCTGGTACCCTGGAGCGTAATTAAATACGATCAATTATTTCTAATTATTTCAAGTTGCTCATTTGCTTCCTACCCAGATTATGAGTTAGTGAAGGGACTGTGTCATGACTCTTTATCTGTCTTCATAGCACCTACCCATTGTCTTTGAGTAAACTGACTACTCAATAGACCTGTCTAGAGATAACATTCGTTCCACTTATTGATTCCTTTAATTAGTGTATCCATCCCAGTAGCCTGTGACCAGCCAGCTGAAAACTGACTGACCTCCTGATGACGGGGTCTGCTCTGGCAGTGTCACCGAGGACTTCCATGTTTCCTGATAACCTGGGTCACTGGTTCAAGTGCCAACTCTGAATGCACCTCATTATTCAATCTGTAACATGGCTGGGAATCGATACTGCTGCATGGTCACAGAGCCATGTCATTTTTTTTTTTTTTGTGAAAAAGTGAGAAATAGAAGTTGTTTCTGTGAGTTGCTTAAGAGTCTGTGGAAAGCACTGACCACAAATCTAAAACGTGTAAGTTTCTGGGAACAAGACAGTGACGTTCGCATAGCGAAAGGCGAGGAGAAGCAGCACCGCTCTAAGTGACCCCCACGCCCGCTGCTCCAGGCTTCCCTTAGCCTGGGAACACTCTCCAACCTGACAGCTGGGCGGTCGCCCCTCAAAGACCCTTCTCTCCCCACTGCTTGTACGTTAAAAATCCCTGTGAGAGGGAGATGGGGAACCATGACGGATGAGTCTGGGCTCAGTGGGCAAGTGGGTAGGTAGAGTCAGCTGTAGAGGAAACACATTTAAACATCTGCAAGGCATGGTTTGCTGACCAGGATACCACCACCCGGGCGTGGCCCTCACCAGTGTAACGAAGGCATCTCCGGATGAAGCCCTAGATTTACTGAAAGCCAAGTGAAGACAATGCAACAGTGACCCTTCGTAATGGATGCAAACGAAGGAAGCCGTTGCCCCTCAGAATGTCTGGTCTCCAACGATGTTGTCCTCTGGGATTTCTGGGATTGCTTTAAGAGTTTACACGTCTCTTAAAGCAATGACGGGGCACCTTACCTGCATAAGAACCGCAGGCCCCAAATACTTGTCTCCATTCCACCAGTAGCTAGGGCAGCTGGTGCTGCAGCAGGCGCAGAGGATGCACTCGTAGAGCCCATCCTGCGTGGGGAGAGAAGACAGGTGGTCTGGACCAGGCGACTGAAGAGCCTGTCACGTCCTTAGCTGACTGAATGTGATGTCTGGGGTCGGTGCATGAACAAAGCGCCTACTTGCATGTGAGTTTTCTTGGCAAAGTCCTAAGAGTGGTTTGCACAGATTTACCAGATTTATAAAAAAAGATCTTGGAACTGAAATGTAAACATCTGCTGGATTATAGCCCAGGGTTCTTAAGTCCAAGTACCATGTACTTATCCTTTAATCGAGAACCCTTCACTTATATAAAAACTTACCACCTAGAATGCAGTCTGAGAGAGACTAAAAAGGCCCCGGTGCCAAGGCAGCTAGCAGTCTACAGCAGCTTCCGCCCAGGCCCAGCAGAAGAGACTTCAGATTTTCAACAAGAACATCGTCTTAAATAAGAGCCAGCGTGCGCTGAGCACTGGCGCTTTACTGACTTCAATAATCAATAACCCTTGATTATTGATAATCAATAATCCCATGGGGCGAGTACTATTAGATTCCTATATAGGTAAGGAACTGATGCTCAGAGAGGTTAGGGCGTTTGCTCAGGGTCACACAGCTGCAAGTAGCAGAGCTGGGATGGGACCCCAGGTGGCCTGACTCTGGAATCCCTGCTCCTTAACACCGGCCACTCTGCCTTTATCTGCCTGACCGGTTCGATTAAACTGGACTGTCAGATTTTGGGAACAACGGAAACTGATTAAAAGCTGCAAAAGAGGGGCATGTTGACATCTGAAGTGGCAGCTGACGACAGATGACACAGAGTTGATGGTCATGACTGTAACCATGAGTCTTTGACAAATCTGTTTTGTTCAGGCAGACAACTAGTATAAACTGGCACCACTGGCCTAGAAAGCATAAGACCGTTGAAGTGAAGAGCCTTAATGACTGTCACATTCTTTAGTCTACTTGTAGAAAAATCTGTAACAAGGAATTAGAATTTTCTGAATAGAACCTGGAGAATAAAGATGTTTACCTAGACCTATTTTTAACAGTAAAAAATTGTAAATAACCTCACTGCTCCATAACCGTGGGAATGGTTAATACGTGGTGCATATGGAAGCAAAGTGTGAGCTAGAATAACACGAACCAGAGAGAAGGCACAGCCCCCACCCTTGCCGTGTGCTGTCTGCTCAGGGGCCGGAACGTAAGTGATTCTCTTGGGTAAGTGCTGTGTTGGAGGAACACGTGAAGCGCTGACCGTCAGACAGGACAAGTCCTCGGCCTTGTGCAGGCATGTGGTTGGGACCCACTTCCATTTGGTCCCCCTCTCATCTCTTCTGCTCCATAAGGACACTAAGAGTGTAGGGAGTGAGTGTGCAAATCAGAGACTTCTTAGAGGAGGTAAAAGCAGTGCAAGAGGAGACTAAAAACTTGGTAATGACGCCTTCACTTTCAAGGACTTTCTAGCCTGTCTACAAGGAAGTGAAACTCCAACAGAGAAGGCAGTCACAGACGCATGGTGTCAGCAAAGAACATCAAAATTCTAGTCCCAGTTCTCCCATTAACTCTTTCACTCCCATCTAAGAACTAGGGTGGTGACAGCAGGACCCAAATGGCTAGCATGTGTTTTATTTGCCTAGTGGTAAAGAGCAACTCCGATTTAGCTGCCAACTTTCATAGAGGGGGCAGGTCACACATTGGTTTCCTTAGAAAAAGACAAATATCTGGCAACATGGTCACGATCTGCCCCTTAGGGCAGGGCACCACCCCAGCTCCCTGCTCCCCTCTAGGTTCTTCCCGTGTTCATACTGCCCACCCCGCCTGAGAGGGTGGGTGTCTCACCCTTGGACAGATGCTTCTGAAGTTCCCTTCCAGAATATGCTAAACGGTCTGCATTATCTCATGCTGCTACCTCCCACTCATCTCTTCAACCCACAGTTCCCGGCAAACATCTTTGCAACGAGAGTCCTCAAATCAAGACAACAAATGGGGTAATGACCAGTTTCTCGCGCTCTTCTATGGACTGCAGATACTGCTGCTTGCCTTCCTGGGATTCATCCTTCTTCTTCAAATAAGGCTCAATGGATTTGTACTGAGCATAGAAGTTGCTCAAATCCTGAGGTTAAGAGGAAAAAGAAAAGGGTCAGGTTCCACCATTACCCCCTAGTTTTCTTCTTTTCCCCATTTCTTGGACACAGTCTACTTTTCTGTCCTATGACAGTCAGAAGGCCTGAGGTTAAGAGGAAAAAGAAAAGGGTCAGGTTCTACCATTACCCCCTAGCTTTCTTCTTTACCCCATTTCTTGGACAGTCTACTTTTCTGTACTATGACAGAAGTCAGACTCTCTGCCTTTGGCAGGGACATGGGCAAAGATTCTGAAAGGAGAAAAGGTCACAATGTTAAGTGTGGTTAGGAAATCTCTGCTTCGCCCCCTTGAGAAACCCTCCAATCCCACCTGCCTTGGGAAAACACCTTGTCAGTGAACGTGGTCAAAGGCAAGGAGGTAGGGGTTTAGAGCACAGTGACTGCTGCTTTCCCAATTGGTTATTGTCCACATGAACTCTTTGTAATTATGGTCAAATTCTTCACTCCTGGGGCTGTTCCAACTCTATAGTTCTGTGCCCTCTTATTTCCAGTCTTCACCAGATGAGCTGCCGGAGGATGCTCTAGGAGTGTTTATCTTCCAACATTCAAATTGCTTAGTTAAACCCAGACAGGAAAAAGGCCTGCCCTCGAGAACGAATAGCATAACGTGCATAGACCTCTCCCCCTGCAAAAAAATAAGGGGTGGGGAGGGAGGATGGGAGGGATGCAGACACTCACAGGAACAAGATCTTTTATCACATACATATGTGGAAGCGGGTAGATTTTTGAGACTTTGTTGAGGTTGGTGTCGATCCTTTTGGTGCAAGCCAGCGTGTTGCCTCCATTGATGTTCATTGCACAAGAGCCACAGATCCCTGAGAGAGAAAATATACTTAATACTTCCTTACCCAGATTCAGAGTCACCAACTTCGAATTCTTTTTTTCTGGATTGTTGTTACTCTACCATCGGGAGCAGCACTGACAGGCAATACAAGTGGCAGAGGGGCCTGCTGCCTTTTCTTCTCTCCCTCCTTCTTGCCTAGAATATAGATCTAACAGCTGTAGTTCCAAAAACCATTTTGTGATCGTGAGGCCACCGGAGGTTGTATAGCACTGGAGAAGGACAGAAGGAGCCTGGGATGCTGCTGGCATCATGGAGTTCCCAACACCAGCCCTAACTCCATGCTTCATGTATTTTGAGAGAAAAATCAGCCTGTTTTTTTTTTTTAAAGTCACCGTTATTTGAACTCCAACTCTAACAGACACAATACCCAAAAGCAAATCAACATTGTCATCGGCATCTTAACATGATGGACTTAGAGGGTATTACGCTGAGTGAAATAAGTCAGACAGAGAAAGACAAGTATCATACGATCTCATATGTGGAATTTAAAGGACAATATAAACAACAAAACAAACAGATTCATAGATACAGAGAACAATCTTATGGTTACCAGATGGGAGGGGGCTGAGGAGGGGCTGGGTGAAAAAGGTGAAGGGATTTAGAATTACATATTAGTAGTTACAAAGTAGTCACAGGAATGTAAAATATAGCATAGGGAATATAGTCAATAATATTGTAATAACTATGTACGGTGCCAGGTCGGTTGTAGGGTGACTGGGGTTCATTTCATAAATTATACAAATGTTTAACCACTACGCCGTGCACCTGTGACTAATATAAAATAATAGTGAATATCGACTACAATTAAAAAAAAAAAAATCAAAACCAAAAAACCCCCCAAAATTGTCTTTGTCATCATAACTCTTTTCCCGTTTAGAAAAAAAAAACTGCAGTTTGCTGCCAACGTATTTACTTCATTTTTTGAATGCTACATTTCCTAGAATTTGACATTTTCAGCGATCGAACTACTAAAAACAGAACGCTATAAATACAATGATGTCATTTGTTTCCAAAGGCGGTCAGTATATAGAGCTGAACTCCGCGAGTCATCTTGGGGGAAGCGCTGCAGCCAGCTGCAAGCTCTAGCGAGTACGCTCAAGGCAAACCGGAAATGGGTTCGGGCTGAGGCCTGGATACGGGTTATCCGAGGCAGCTCTTCTATTGTCTCCACAAAACAAGCATCCTAGTGGTTGCCCTGGGCATATGAAACCCACAAAAACTGCCTGAGCACTGACTTTTCAAAGAAGAATGAGCTAATGTGAAACCAAAGTAAAGCAAAGTAAACCAAGAAAAAATAGGGTGCTGACCGAGGAACTGAAATGAGAATTTTCTTAGCCTGGACTTATGTCCTAGGTATTTCTGAGTTTAAATATGACTATGCAATCTCAACCTCTGGTACCACTTCTCTGAAGTGGTTTTTTGAAGATTAGGCCAGAGAAATGTGATTGCTTGTGAAACTTGCACTGGGTTATCACTTTTCTAAGACTCTGCCCTTCCTGTAAATCTTAATAAGAGTATAAGAGAACTGTCTTAAGCAAATACTCCCAAAGTTCCTCAAGAGACGAGTATTACCAACATATTTACGTATGCCTGGCATTCAACCAGAGCAGTGTGCTTTTATAAGAAATGGTGTACGATTTAAAAAATAAATCCAATGAATCTTCTCTTAAGATTCTCTTTAAAAGGCTCCCCTGGAAATTCTCCTAACAAACAATAGAATAACAAAAAGGAGTGGCAAAGCTGTCATTCTGCCTGATATATTTAAGTCCAGATGGGCTGCACCTTATGTTCTTGGCTCTGAAAGAGTCTTATGGGGAAAGGTTACTGAAAAGCATCTATATTTCGTGTGTTGCCAGGACTTAAGTGGGGGAAGGTTGGTGTTTAATCACAGCAGAATGTTCCCTGAACAGCAGGACTCAGCTAAACTATCACAGTATCTGTCAGCATTTGATCCAATCCTGTAAGATTAGCTGAGTCAAAACAGATGTTTTAGGAATAGGCCTTTAAAGGCTCGACATGCACAGCAGAACATAAAAAGCGATGGACCATAATCTATAGTGACTTTTCCTTTCATGGGAGGTTATTTTAGGAAGATAGTCAACCCCAGCCCTTGGTCTCGGCCCAGGCTACGCTGTTTGGGGTTCGTCCCGGGTTTCCCAAGCCTGGCCAGACCGCACTGCCTGCAAGTGCAGTTATGGAACCTGACAACTCTGGCTGACTCCAATTCACTATCTCTGTGTCCTTTTCAAAGTCCTTAACCTCCCTGGGCCTCAGTTTCTTCATTTGTACATTGAGTGTAAATAACAATAGCATCCGTCTCTCTCACGTAAAGTGCACAGAATCAGCCTGGCACACACTGTGTTCATGGCCATCAGGGCCAGTCCGCCTTCATGGTACCTGCGTGACTTTTGCCACCTCTGAGAACCACTTGAATGTTCTTTATGAGTTTTCTTTAAATATATTATTTTTACTTAAATTCATATTTAAAAACCAATTTTCACCGTTACACTGCCAGTAGTCATTATATTTTTCTAGTATGTAAAATAAATGCATAGGTACTAAAGTAAAAGATGCTGGTTTGCAAATTGCCTGAAATCAGCTCAGGTGGCACTAGCAGCATACTGTGGGAAATACTGTTCCCATCTAGAACATTCCTACTGAGCACTTGCTCTGTGCCCACGCAATGCTGGGAGCGGGAGGGATGAATGTTAAGTGTGCGTAAGCACCAGCTAGACACTCTCTGCTGCCCTGGTAATAAATGAGCTCAGTAGTGCGGAGGTGGCCAGCCAGCTGACCTGAGCTGGTCCTCGAAAGGAACAGCAGCTCTCAGGGACTGCTAGATGCAGCAGCCATGTGATGGGAAGCTCCTGAAGGGAAGTAAACTCAGAAACCAGAACTTGTACCACAGTGCAAATTTCTGACACATTTATCCAAGAAAAGAAAGTACACAGCAAGGTCACCTTGCAGAGCACTGCAGCTGTCGTCTCGGTGTTTCCATCAGTTCTGGCCAGCCCAGGCCTCTTGAGAACCAGAACATACGTGTCTGGGACCTACTAGGGAAGGAAATGCTTACCTTCTCTGCATGATCTTCGGAAGGTCAAGGTAGAATCGATTTCATTCTTAATTTTGATTAAAGCATCCAACACCATGGGGCCACATCTAACCAAAACCAAAAACAACAAAAAGAACCTCAGTCTTATTTATGTGAAGTTCAACCTCCCCATACTTTCATCATATGATGAGACACCTGCCTATATTAGCTGCTCTTCTTATCCATTTGGACTTCTCAGGTCACATTCAGAATTTTACCCATAGTTTTATTTTTTCATTCTTATACATTTTAAGTACGGCAGAGTTCTATTTTGATGACCACATCGAACATACATTTCTAGGAAATGGAAAGCTAAAAAAGTAAAATATTTAGGTTAGGAAATAACTTCCATATACTGGCGGTTTTTGTTTTTTTTTCTTCTAAAGCTCTCTGCAAAGCTTTTTCAAATAGTTTATTTTGAATTTTAGTTCTATTTTTAGTATCCAGACAATAAGTAGCTTTAAATGGTTAGTAAATGATAATAATGCTTAACCATAACAGAAAATGTGGTACATAGAATAAAAGAAAATAAACCACCCACGGTCCCCGAGTCCAAAGCTCTGGGAGTGTTCCGTGCACGTGGGGGCCGCAATGTGGGGTCAGGGGCAGCAGCCCCGGGCTTGGCACCTAGGGTGCAGGCCTGGCATCTGAGAGCCTGGTCTGAATCCTGCCTTAGACACTTACTAGGTTATAGGGAAATCACTTAATCCGCTTCCCATCTATAAAGCACAGAGAGCAACACCTACATCTCACAGGACTTGCAGGTGAATGACCACATGCAGAAATAAGACACTTAGAGTAGTGTCTGTCACATACATTTTTAATTATGATTATCTTCATGGAGAATGTGATTCTAAGTGGCTTATTCTCTCTGAGCCAGTTTCTTTATCTGTAAATAAGGTTAATATTTGTACCACAGGATTATTATGAAGATTAAATAAAAATGTGATTTTTATAGAACCTGGCACACAGATAAGTGCTCAATAAATCTATTTCCTGATTGCCACCCCCATTCCTCTCAGTATTTTTCTATGTATGGGAGTTTAAAAAATGCCCCTTTCCCAAATATCCTTCAGCATTCTCTGTATTTTCCTCCCAGCTTTATAGAGATAAAACTGACAAACAATATTGTATAAATTTAAGGCATATGACATGATTTGATATATGTATATACTGCAAAATGATTACTACAATAAGGTTAGTTAACACATCTGCATTACCTGTATTTCTATGAGCAATATGCAAACACCCTTTTCACTGTACTTTTGTTAACACTGGGAACTGTAATCTTTAAAAACCTCTCCATTTTGAGACTAGAGAAGTCTTACTATAGCCAGTATTTTAATTTGAGATCTTTGACTACTACAGTGGTTGAATATTTGTCATAAATTCATTAATTTCTCTTCACTCACCAATTACTTATTTAAAGTCTTCTCCGTTCTAGGTGCTGGAGATACACCAGAGAACAAAATAAATGAAAATTCGTGCCCGCAGGGAGCGTTCATTTTAGTGGACCAACTCTATAGACTGTCCATTTTCTTTATCAGTTTACTGAGGTCCTGGGAATTTTTTTTTCTTTAAAGGTCTGAGCCTATCATCTTGTTTTTCTCTACTCTGCTATTACTCCCAATACTTCACTTTGGACACATCTAGTCATCAAATATGTGGGTGCTTTTCCCATGCTAAGCAATTCTGCAAAACCAGCAGGGTGTCCCACACTGTAACTCAATTCTGACACTACTTACCTGGAGACAGCATCAGATCCCAGAGGTTAAGGACTGTCCTACAAGACTATTCCCCTCCCCTCTCAGATGCCAACTACAAGGCCAGGTCAACTGGCTATGAATGGGAGGTTCTCATGACCCCCCTCCTTGGGTTTGATAATGTGCTACAGCGGCTCACAGAATTCAGAAAAACAGTTTACTTATTAGATTGCTGGTTTATTATAAAAGGGTACAACTCTGGAATAGCTAAATGGCAGATGCACAGGGCAAGGTACATGGGAAGGGGAGCAGAGCCCTTCATGCCTCCTCCGGGTGGGCCTTTCTCCCAGCACCCTCATGAGCTTACCAACCCGAGCTCTCTAAACCCCATATGTCAGGGACTTTTATGGAGGCTCCATTACACAGACATGACTGATGACCTATGTTATCACTGGCCATTGGCAAGTGATTCAACCTCTAGCCCCTCTCCACTCCCAGGTCAGGGGTGGGGGCCGAAAGTTCCAACTCTCTCAACTGGTTCCCCTAGCAACCAGCCCTCATCCTGTGGTTACCAAGGGGCTTTCTAAAAATCACCCCATGGACATAAACTCAGGTGTGGTGGAAAGGGGTTTGTTATAAATAACAAAGGATATCTTTTTCCTCATTATTTATTTGGAGCTATTTCAGGACTGGGAACAAAAATAAAGTGTTATTTACAACAAAAGATGACCCTACAGTCTTATCTCCTTTGGCTATCTGTGGAGATCCTTAAAAGTGGAAGGTGGAAAAAGGGTGGTTCCAGAGAGATATGAGGGGAAGGTCTTGCCCTGCTGTTGCTGGCTCTGGTCCAGGCAAAGGACTGTGGCAGCCTCTCACTGCTGGGAACGGCCCTCTCAGCTCATGGCCAACAAAAAATAGGGACCTTGGTCTTATAGCCATGAGAAGCTGAATTCTGCCAATAGCTCAAAAAATGAATTCTCCTTTAGTCTCTAGAAGGGAGCACAGCCTGCCGACACCTTGACTTTAATCTGATGAGACCTTTACTAGACTTCTGACCTCCAGAACTATAATATAGCTATATATTATATCTATATATTAAGCCACTAAGTTTGCGGTTGTTATAACAGAAATAGAAAACTGATATCGTAGGCATAGCTAGTTTTTAATATTTTAACTATATCCCTATCTTGTCCTATCACCATTTCAGCCAGGTTTATGGTGTTTATCATTATTACAGAATATATAGGTCCAGACACATAAAATTAACATGAAAACATTCAATACATTTAGATTGATGATGTGTTAAATGACTTCAAATACTATGCATAAAGCCAACTTTACCGTTATTCCTAGAAATTTGTCACACTTTGATTTGGGGGAAGAAAGGTATTTTAAAGTTATACTTTTTGGTATTACCTTTCTGAATCGGGTGCCTATCTCATTCTTGTTTTAAAGAGACGATACATTCCAAAGCCATTGGATGATCTGTTTTTAACCCTTCCAAGGATGTGAAAAGCATGTCCCTGAATCAGATGAAGAGCTCATCTTTATTTATCAAATACCTAGCTTTCATGGAGATACTTACTTATTCAAATCAATTTCATAAGTTTGCATATGAGGTTTATCTCCAGTCTTATCTGGGTCCCATCGGTAGATGGCAAATTTCTTGATTCGGGGAGCTGTGGCTGCAGCTGTCTGGGCCCCTCGGCAGGCCTGAAATTTAAAAAGTTCACAAGGATCAAATTATTTAAAATGCAAGAGAAATCCTTTTGTTTAGCCGCACTATGAGCTGTAATACTAGATACAAACTCACACATTACTGACCCACAGTCTTCTTGGGAAAGGTAGTCATCCAATATTTAAGAAACAAACATTAAGCATTTAACTAACATGCCAGACATGGTGCTGGGGCTGGTGAGAGGGCACTTAGTAAAGCAGACAAAGCCTTTGCCCTCAACGAATCTACTCTGCAGTGAACGAGAGAGGAATTAAATAGTCACAGTAAAGTGTAAAGAGGGAAGAATATGGCAGACTTACCCTAATGTAAGAACACGGGAAGCCCCACAAACAATATTTAAGCTAAGCCTGATGAACAGGGGTAAGGAAAGGGGAAGAGGGGTGTAAGCTGAAGGAACGACACGTGTAGAGGCCTGGATGGGGATGAGCACAGTGCACCTGTGAGGAACTGAGAGAAGCCCAGTATGAGGTGGGGTGGCTTGAGTTCGGGCGGATGAGCGGCAGATGTGGGGAAACCGAGAAAGATTTATAAATTGTGTTTTATCCTAAGAGCAATGAGAGGCAGACAAATCATTTTTATCAGGTGGGTGACATAATCATTTTTATTTTTGAGAAGAATATCACTGGTTACAAAGGGAGAATTTTCACATGACAGACATTTGGGGAAACCAGAGCCAGTGATGTAAATCCAGAAAGCCACTGCAGTTGTCAAAATGAGATGCTGGTGTTTTCAGATTAGGTGTCAGAGTCAATTTGCGCTGCTGTAACAAAATACTAAAGATTGGGTGGCTTAAACAGCAAACATTTATTTCTCACAGCTCTGTAGGCTGGGAAGTCCAAGTCCAAGGTGTTGGCAGATATGGTATCTGGTGAGGATTCTCTTGTTGCAGACAGCTGCCTCTTTGCCATATCCTCATGTGGTGGCGACAGAGAGCTCATGTTTCTTCTTTTTATAAGGGCATTAATTCCATCGTAAGGGCCCTACCCTCAGGCTAACCTAACCCTGATGTCCTCTTGAAGTCCCCATCTTCAAATACCATCACATTGGAGATTAGGGCTTCCACATATGAATTTTGGAGGGACATACTCAGGCCAGAGCACTACATACAGCAGGAAAGAAGATAAAGAATACTGTATCTTAAAATAAATTTAGGGAACTAACAAACAGCTGAGTCGTGCGCTCTATGATGATTCTATTCCATCTCCTGGGCACTTATAGTCTCTGCCAGAGGGTTTCACACAGTCAGCCCAGGGATCCTGGAGTGCCATCTCAGGGGCTGCTGTCAGAGGGTCAGGTAAAGAGGGTGGGCCTCTGACTTCCCGCTCTCCTTCAACCAGAACAGCGTAACGATAAGAACATATTTGCCAAAAAGGTGCTTTTGCTCAAAAAGAAAAAGTTTTATATTTAAATTCACACTCATTTTTAAAGCCACTATTTATTATTGCCAGGCACTGTATTAAATGCTTTATATATGAATAACGCCACTGCAGCATTTTAAAGATGAGAAAAGCAAGGCTCAGAGATCAAGTGATGGGCCCATGACTCAGGGCTGATGAATGGAGCCAGAACTGGAATCCAGGTCTGTCTGACTCCAGAACCCATGTTCCTAAACACGGTACTATCCTATTTATTTGCAAATATTCTCAGGTCTCTTCTTGGTGCCGTCTTTTCTTTATGTCCTCAACTACTTGGGGCATGTGTATCAGTCAGGGTTCTCCAGAGAAGCAGAACCAACAGTGTGTACACACATACACACACACACAAATATTATGTTCACATGATTATGGAGACAATAACAAGTCCCATGATCTGCAGTTGGCAAGCTGGCAACCTAGGAGAGACTATGATGTAAATCCAGTTGAAGCTGAAGGGCTGTGAACCAGGGGAGCCAATGGTGTAGTTATAGTCCAAAGACCGGCAGGCTTAAGGCCCAGGAAGAGTTGATGTTTCAATATGGATCCAAAGGGAGGAAAAAAAACCAAACAAACGAGGTCCCAATCCAAAAGCATCCAGGCAGGAGGAATTCCTTCTAATTCCGAGAACTGTCAGCCTTTTGTTCTAGTCAGTCCTTCGACTGAGTGAATAAGGCTCACCCATGTTAGGGAGAACACCCTGCATCGCTCAGTTTACCAGTGTAAAAGTTAAACTCATCCAAAAACACCCTTACAGAAATGCCCAGAATAACATTTGATCAATTACCTGGGCACCCCATGGCCCAGTCAAGCTGACACGGTGGTAAAATCAACCATCACAGTGTGGGGCAGGTTATATTTTACATCTCCCAGTACACCTGGTCCAGGGCTTTACATGCTGCAGTTCAATCTATGGTTAGGAAAGACTGACGAAAAGAGCAAAACCTGAGCATTATACTAATGTAAAAATGTGGTTTATTTTAAGTGTACCTTAAACGGCTGAATAGTGCAACCTTTATCAAGCCATTGACAAAACAAAAACTCTGCGCTGTATATGGCATTTACTCATAATGCTAAGTCAACAGCTAAACCGGTCCCATTCCATAGTCCTCGCAGCCCTATTTCGTTTGGGCAGAGGAAACAAGGCGGAGACCAGGCGAAGTCCTGCAGAGGGGACGATCCTGTCAGTCCGAATAGCAATTATAAGCTGAACCCTCAATTCGTATGTAGAAAAAAATCCGACTATATTCCAGGCTAGCTAATTCTCTTATAAATGTTTAAAGTAAAATCTCTGAAGGTCAATCGAGTAATTATAAGACATGTAATGTTGTTTGTCACTTGCTGGCAAAAAGAACCCCAAATTAAGTGAAGCTGAAACGTACCAGTTCTAAGTATGAAAACAGAAAATACATGAAGAAAATGAAAGCCATATTTTACCTTATCACCAAGCTGGTTACGATTATTAACAAAAGGAAAATCATTTTTAGAACATTTCCACTAGGGACTCCATTTTGTAAAATGACAAGAACATTCGGCTACTGCCACCTTGTGGCCTTTAAGAGGAAGTAGAGAAAATGAAAAAAAGATTCAGGAACATCTTTGGCTCCAGCAGCCTTACTTGCTTAGTGCCCCACAATCTTTCTTGTTTTTGTTTCAGTGAGGTTTAGTGCGGTATAATTCATTATACTAAAAGTCACTAATTTTAAGTGTATACAGTCATGTGCCACTTAAAGATGGGGTACGTTTTGAGAAATGCGTCGTTAGGCGACTACATCGTGCGAACGTCACAGAGCGCACTCACACGAACCCAGGTGGGACAGCCTACTGCACATCTAGGCTGTATGGTATAGTCTGCTGCTCCTGGCTACAAGCCCGTACAGCGTGTCATTGTATTTAATGCTGTAGGCAACTGTCACACAATGGTAAGTACTTGTGTATCTAAACATATCAAACATGGAAAAGCTATGGTAAAAATATGGTATGAAAGAAAAAAATAGCACACTTGTACAGGGCACTCACTGTGAAAGGAGCTGGCAGGATTAGAAGTTGCTCGGGGGAGTCGTGAGTGAGGGTGAGCAGGTGTGAAGGCTTCGGACGTCACCGTACGCTACTGAAGACATAAACGCTGTCCCACAAGCCCCCCACCCCACCTGCTTCGACAGGGCCAGAAATGGAACATCGACGCTGTCAATGCTGCTCCATAAACAGGGATGTGGGATGGACTGATTGGAAATATCGAGGAGAAACTGGATGGGTGAGGCACAGATCACCTCAATAGTAAGTGTCAGGAGGGAGTAAAGGTGGCCTGAGGATCAGTAGGAATTAGAAATGAAGATGGAGATAAAGAGGAACATGGGGGATTGTCATGGCAACGTGGGTTTGGCTAGTGAATGTGGGAGCGGTGGTCAGATTCAGGAACCTTGTGGTATTCATGTAAAGAGGGTGTTTAACATGGAGAGGATGTAGAAGCGAGAACTCAATATTCTGACTTTGGAAATTTGTTTCTGGTCCCGCTGACCCCATCTGGCACAGAGGACTCTCTCTGGCATCGAACTGATTTACCTATGCTTTACATCACAACCTGAGGATATTCCCAAAATACAGTGACAGGTTGGCTTTGCACTACCAAATTATAAAAAAGAGGACTATGAACTGGGCCCCACTGTTTCATTCGAGGCGATAAGGAGAAATGAACAAAAAAGAGACAGAATAGCCAATGTGTAAGAGGGAAAATCCGGAGACTTGGAAGTCAGGTGAAAAAAAAGTGTTTTGAGGAAGGAATGAATAAATGACAAATGCTTCAGAGAGAAAATTATCATGAGAATTGAGAAATGACCATTGGATTTAACAAAGCCAAGGTATAGATGAAGGGTTTGAGTGAGGTGATGAGGAGGAAGAGCCTGGCTGTTAACAGGTTCAAGAGAAAATGGGAGATGAAGTTTGGACAGTGAATTTAGACATCTCATGAGAAGTTTAACTAAAAAAATAAGTAGAGAAATGGCGTGGTAGGTGGATGTGGCTTTTTTCTTTTTTAACATGAGAGAAATTACAACATATTTGTGTGCTGCTGCTGCTCGTCTGACAGAGAAGGAAAAACTGATAATGCAGAGGAGAGGAATTATTGGAGAGCTATCTCTGAGTAAGTGATGGGATGTAGAGCACGAGCAAAGGGTTGGCCATAGGAGTGCCGCCGAATTTTCCACGGTAACAGGAAGAAAAGGAGAATATATGGGGAAAAGTGGGAGGTAGGCAAAAGCTTGAGGTTTTTTATCTTTGTTGCCTGTCCAGCCATTTGCTATAAACCAATGATGATGGAGGGTCCTTCAAACTCATTGCTACCTCAATCTATAAAACTAATGAGTATTCAAAGCTGAGTGTACCTTTCTAGGAAATCTTGAATGAGATTAACTTCATAGTTTATAATTTAAAGAAACAAGGTAATCGACAATTTAAACTGAGGATGAGGAGGGTGACTTTTGGATCATGCTGAAGGATGCTTGGTATTCCTTTAAAAAAGCTTCCTTAAGGAACAGGCTTGGAGTTAAATAAAGCAGATACAGATTTGGAGGCAAGAGAAAAGGTGTGGAAATGGAGAGGAGGACGGCAAGGTCTGTATAAACCTGAGTAAAACAGAAGGTGCGGGCTTGTTCCTGAAATGTGTGAGTGGCACTGGTTCAAATCCAAGCTCTACCACTTACTGTATGTTCTTTGGCAAATTACTCAACCTCTCTGATTTGATTTCTTCTTTTGTTAAACGGTAGGGAATTAAAAAATCTATCTCATTAAATTAACTGGCAGGTCAAGCTTCTAGTATATACAGCCCAGGAAATTCTGCTTTTTTGGGCGACATCATCAGTTCTTGTGTCATTCTGATTGGCAGATAGGTATCCTAAGCCTTGCCAGTGCTAGGAACAACGAGAGAGAAAATTGAAAGCAGGTGGTGCTTGCCCTAAAGGCGTTCATAGCCTAGATGAAAAAGGAAGGCAACACAAACAGTTAATACATTACAGTTAAATACTCACAGGCAGAGCTATGGTTTGGTGGTGCAGACTAATGCATAAAAGGAATTCGGGAGAGAAATCTTACCATGTCCTAGAGTCCTAGGAACCTACATATTACCCACAGGTAACACGCTAAGCTCATTACTGAATTCTTTTGAGGTGGCTTTTGTATGAATGCACAGTCCTACAAGGATGGGAGAGGGACTCTTCTATTTCTCTGCCCTCAGGAGGCCCTAGAATTACAACATTGGACTTTGAAACTAATCTCTACGATTCATTCTTGGAAGAGGGACCTGAGCCTTAGAACTCAATTCTCATTGGTGGGATTCACATAACTTAATTGCTTACTCAGCAACTATAAAAGAAACTGGTAAACAAGGCCATTATTAATCATCAATTTCATGTTCAGAAGACACAGCTTGAGGCTCTGGTAGGCAGTCCTCTTCCCTTATTTCTCCTTTTCAGAAAGACTATAAAATACTTGTCCAAGTTCATATACAGCTGGAAAGAACCAGCATTAGAAAATAGGCCATATGCACTGTTTGTGGCCAGAGGTACTTACAAATGAGAGTCTCATGGAAATGCAACGGGGGAGAGGAACTAATACTTCTTGTACACCCACCATATACCCAGATCTGTGTTAGGAGTTTTTCACATATTATGTTAAAAAACTGGGTTTGGGTACTGGATCTACCAGTTCTTGGCCATGAGATGTTGAGCAAGTAAAAAAATTTCTTTCCGGGGCCTCGGTTTTCAAATCTCTCAAAAGGAGGTAAGAATTCCAGCTCGCCCGCTTTGTTGCTGAGGAGCCCAGAGAAGGAAACTGATTTGAAAGGGATTTGTAAATTCTTAGTACCTTATGTATGCAATGGTTATTTTCCTTCCCCTTCTAAACATTCCCATTTTGAATGCGTATCAGAAGTGTGTAGTTTCCTGAAAATACAAGAGGTGTAGGGATACCTACTGAATACCTATTGCACATTGAATAATAAAAATAAGAGCGGCACCACCGAATTCTGTACCTATGTGATCCATGCGCAAACTCTGTGAGGTCCGTACTATTATTTACAGACAGGGACAGAGGATGACACTGCTTTAAGGAACCCAGCCTTTCCCGCAGCCTTCCACTGGGAAATGGGTCCAAATCCTTCAGGGGACCGAGTGAATTTCCCTCCATTTCTCCCTTCCCCTGCCCTGTCCCCAACAATTCGCTTGCCCTTTCCTTACCAATCCCGGTCAGGTCCGTCTTTACTGAGCCCTCAACCGTGCGCCCTGGAGGAGGGACCTCTCGTCCCAGTTCCTACCCCGCAGGTCTGTCTTTTCCAGAGGCGTCAGCTTGGTGAAAGAAAAAGGGTTCAGAGCCCAAATATTCGGATTCGAGTTCTGCTTCCACCAGTCACTTGCCATGTGACCTTGGGCAATTCAAAGTCCCCTCTCTGAACGTCTTTCTCTTTTTACTTATTTCTTAAACTCGCCTTCGCCCTCACCAACTCAGACTGCAGCAAGGAGCAGAAGGAAAACGACAGCCATGCTCCGGGCCAAACCACAACACTGCGCAGGAGCGGGTGGTCCTCCGCCTCCTGGAGGCCTGGCCCTGTGTTCCCGCAGCCTCCTGTGCGGCCTCCTCAGCTCCAGGCTGTCTCCGTGACCTTCAGTGCCTGCCCTCTCCCTGCGACCTCGGAGCTCACCTGCAGGCAGGCTCCGCCAAAGGCTGTGGCTGGGAATCGACGCCTCAAGGAGACTCCGACCACCGCTGCCATGTTGGCTCCTGACGTCCAGCACCACCCTTAACCCCGAAGTCACTCTCTGCAGGTATCACGTTGACTACCTTGGCGCGCAGCCAGCGTCCACTGAGGATCCGTTAACCGCGTAGGAGCCACCGGGAGAGAGGCTACTTCCGGTTTCCTGGGCGGAAGGAGCGAAGGCAGAGAACGCCAACGCGAGCGGGCGCTGTTGCGGAGGGCTCGGCGCATGCCCAGTTGGTCTCCCGCGTTTCTAAGGTGACTTTCCCAGAAGGGGGCGGAGTCAGAGAGGGAGGGCGGTAGAAGGGGTGGGACTAAGATCGTGAGGGGGCGGAGTCATCCTATCCGAATTCAGTCCCGATTTTAACCCCTTTCATCCGGAAAATTTGTCAGCTGTATCACTCGTCTTTGTCGCTTAGTGGCTTTAATTAGACATTTATCGGACAGTGCGGTTTGCCCGAGACTATCCAGGTTTCAGCACTGAGAGTCCCGAGTCCCGTGGCCAGAGAAACCCCTCATCCCCGGGTAAATGGGGAGGGTTGGTGAATGAACCGAGGGGATTTTAAAGTTGACGGGCGAAGGTGGTATTCAGTCATTCATACATTTATTCATTCATTCAAAAATATGTATGGAGCATTGCTGTGTGCCAGGCGCTGGGACACTGCAGTGCCACGCGCCGTTATCGTCCTCATTGAATTTACTCTCTAATAGGCAAGTAACCGTGCAATTACGATACACTAAGCTCCGTTCTGTAAAGTAGAGGTGAGAAGGGAACCCAGACTTTGGTGGCTTAGTTAGCCATTTAGAGTTAGAAACCATTTCTTGAATGCCTGCTGAATGCCAGACATTATGATCCATCATCTTACCTAATTCCCACAACAGCCTCGTGGGAGAGTTGTGCCTTTTTTTGGTCTCCATTTTAGTCATCTCAGCTGCTTTTTTCAGACCCTCCCATGGTTCATCTTGGAGCCTGCCTCACTCTGGGGGCTAGATTACCTTGGGTGGGGTGTGGCTTCAGTCCTCCAAGTCACTTGGGCTCTTAAGTCACCCCAAGTATTTATATAGGTAGTTAACTTCGCAGGTACCTGTATTTATCAGGAATGGTTATTCCTTCAGTGCCCACTTGTTTTTGACATATAAAGGGCACCTTTTTATATTCTTTGCTTTCCACATTCATAGCTCATTTAGAAGCTACCGAAGAAATTAAGATGGCCAGACAAATTGATTGGGTAGGGCTAAGTTTCTGGAGTCTTGGGCTGAAAATTGGCTACATGTGGCCACATGAAGGAGGTGTGTAGTGAGGCCATGAGAAATAGCCTGGTCGCCCAGGGTCTAACCTTGAATCTTCCCCTCAAGGCTGGTGACCTTGGACAAGTCCCTCCCCATCTCTAGCCTATAGTTTCCTTGCTTCCATCATCAGGGTGATGGGTCACCTGATTTAAGATTCTGTGATTCACATGGCTGTCTTAGGGAGCTGCATTGGAGGTGACTGGTCAGGAGGTCATCCTGACTTTTCATTGAGGCTGACCCAGCTCTGGAGTAGGGCTTCTTTGAGTCTGCCCCAAGGGGCCTCTTGGGCCACCCAAATTGCCTGAAATCATGAGAACACATTTACTCTCCCTCTAATT